ACAAATAATAAAACAAAAGGGAGCTGAGGACAGCCTGTAGCTAACAGCCAGCAGAACTTGGAGCCTCAGTCTATCTGAAGGGCAATGAATTAAGGACACAATATGAATGAGCTTGAAAGCAGATTCTCTTCATACTGCAGCCACTAGATGAGAAAACTTCCTGCTGACAATGGCAAGCAGCCGGTGGCACCGGAGCCCCAGACTCTGCTCCCCAGACTGCAAGCTTCTTTTGTCTTTTAATAGTTTTACCTACTTATTTGTTTATTTCACTATAATTACCCATAGTACCTTTCCTTCCTTTGTCCTTTGCAAACTCCCTCTCCTCTTTTAGGGTCACTTCCTCTCAGAGACTGTCCTTAACTCTCCATCTTTAGGTAAAATGAGCACTTTCTCTGATTTTTCCAGGATCCTGGTATCTTGTTATATCACTAGTACTACAAACAGCAGATTGCACACTCAGAAAGGTAGGGACACCAGTGCTCAGCTACAGAAATTCAGTATATGTTTAATGAGTGAAAGTGAGGGGAGATAAAGAATGCACAGAAACTTAGATGTTAACATGTTCTTCAATGTTTCTACTGCCTAGGTAACCCCCCTATGGTTTTCTCTTTTGTTTTAGAAGTAATATTTCAATTTATCTCCTTAAAAAGAGGAGATTTATCATTCTTTTAAGTGGCAGGGTTAAATTTTGAAAAAAGATCCAATGATAGGTTTAACCTTTTCTACTATGTCACAGTTAAGAAACACGTTATTATCACGACTGTTATCTAGGAGGCATCTTAGAGTTTCACAAAGTAATAGAAACAAATATCTTTTATGAAAAATACTCTGTAAAGAAACTGTAGATTTAGACATTACTCTAAATATCAATCATACAAAAGAATTAAATATAAGGGGAAGGCAGGGAGAACGGCATAAAATTTAGTTTTGTTAACACACTAAGATCACTCTATAACACAAAGTAAACATAAGAGTATATGGAGTATATCAGATGATACTCTTTTTCTAAGTGAGATATGCAAATTCAAACCTATTTACCTTAAAGATTCAGATAATGGTGTTAAAGTGCCATTTCCCCTATCTACTACACAAAAGAAATTCAACTGGTCTCCTTCCCGGTAAACCAAGAACGTAACTTGTCTGCTGCAGGAGGCCTTCTCCCAGACCTCATCTCGACTGGGGTCCATGTACTCAGCCATCTCCCTAAGCGGGTCTTCCATGGGAACTAAAGTGGAAAAATTAACAGAAAGTTTTCAATTTACAGCAACTTTTGTGCATCTTGTACAGTGACAGGACATAATCTGCTGAAATGAGCAACCACTTGTTTATATAGCATTGTGTATGCTGTGCTTATATGAAAGAAATAAAATGCATCATTATGTTGACCAAAACATGAAGATTTTCTTTTCCTGAACCAACAGAGTCTATAAATCTGCTGATTTTTGTGATATTATCTAATATTTTTCTGCTGCATACCTTTTGCTTCCTAAATTTTCAAATATTGTTTCCAGTGATCAATAAGTGAAAAGCAATTCAAATGCCACTTATTTTAGATTAAAAGGTAAACACATACAATTGAGAGACATATGTAAAACACTGGAAGGAAGGGAAAGCTCGGAGTGGAGCTTAGTAGAACACTTCCATCTCCAAGGCCCTTGGCTCATTCCCTAGCAGCAAAACAAAAGCACAAACAAAAAACAAAGCAAAACAAACAAACAAAAAAATGCAGCAGCAGCAGCAACAGCAAGCAAACCTCTTATTCTTTCTGCTTTTATATAAGCTGTTTCTTCTCAGACCTGCTGCTCACTGATGTGAAGTTGGGTAACAGGATTCTGTGACTCAGCACACAGGGGCCAATACTGTGTTACACTGCAGAGTGAGGAGTCACTACACTTTTTCTGGTCAGGGTCCTCCCAGGAACCCCTGCTGTCCTGTAGCATCTTGTGTTTGGTCAGATGCACAGGTTCTGGGGGTCCAGAGCTGCCCTTGGGTTTGAATGACACTGTGGCCATTATGACAACCTGCTCTCACCCACAGCAACCACTGATTTTACCCCAAGGGTGGGAATGGACATTAGGAGATTGCTGCTCACAAGAGAGACGCTCCAGGAGGTCCCAGATCCAGTCCCAAGGAGCCTAGGTATCGATGCTGTAGAAAGCAAAAAGTTCTGTCCAAAGCAGTTCCCCTGTTAAGCTATAAAAACACCATTTTCTCCTAAAAGAAGCAACAGTTTTTCAATCTGTTTAACTTTCCTTCACTTACTAACAGAATTGCAAAGCTATCCTACCCTTTAAGAAGTGCTACCACTAGAAAAATACCAAACTCTGAAAGGAGTAAGAAAAAAATCATCTAAGATGTTCCTGTACCCTAAATTCACAACACAGATACAAATTGTAGAAATAAAATAAGTTTTGTGAAATAATCATTTGAATGATTTGATTGACTCAGACATAAAATGTACACTATTAAAGGACATTTGTCAGGTAAGTTCTTGGACTTTTTTTTTTTTTTTTTTTTTGGTACCAGGGATCTAACTCAGGACTTTGGAGGCAGGCGCAGTGCCACTGAGTAAATCCCCAGCCCTAGTTCTTGGCCTTTTAAAGTGAATGTTCCCCTTTCCACATTAAATGAGAAATAAAAATGATGACACTGGATGTTAGATTTTACTGCTACTGCCACTACATGCACCATTTACAAGCAGCACAGGGCCTTTCTGGGGCCTGGGCTGCTGCTGTGCACATATGTGTACATGTGTGTGTGTGTGTGTGTGAATGTGTGCACCACACATATATGTGTCAGAAGAATCATTCAGATTTTATTAGCTACAAAATAATGCATATGGAACCGGATATAATTTAATTTAATTTAAATTATTTTAAAAATAAATTTTATTTTATCCCTTTCCCCTCTTCAAGCTCCCTCCCCTCCCTATGTATACAATTTAATTTTAGAAAGGAAAGCATTTTCTATGCTTTCTTGATAATGGTTATCACAGAACAAATCCTAAAGCTAAATATTCCTGGAACACATATGGTAAAGATATTCTATGAACCATTTTAGCCTTGAAACAAGACTAAATTAGCTTTAAAAGTATGGCTTCTCAAATATAATATGGGAAGCTGTTAAACCTGGGCGCAGTTTTTCTTTTTTCACAAAGTTTTAAATGACTTAGAGTGGGCAATATTAAGCCTTTAATGTTAAAAAGTACATTTAATAAAGGCAAATTTATTAAAAACAATTTTAAATATTAAAATTAAGTGCTAACTACTGATTTATCAAGTATGGCAGAGGAAGCTGTAGAAAAATTATTATGAAGACTTTATTATAAAGCTTCAACTACCAAAGGTAGTGATGCCCTTCATTTTCATGACAAAAGAAAAAATATATATACTCATTCTCATAAAAGTGCAAAATAATTTTGCCCCTGGTAAGAAAAATTAGGTGTTCTAATTAAATACTCTGGTTTAAGGCCAGTACAACACACAAATAATAAACTTTCAAAAACATAATACAATGGAATTCATATGTCATTAAACACTGTAGGGCCGGGGGTTTCGCTCAGTGGTTCTGCCACCTGCCTCACAAGTGCAAGGACTGGAGTTTGATCTCCAGTTCCAATAAACAAACAAACAAATAAACACTGTATATATTTGTGTGTGTGTGTGTGTGTGTGTGTGTGTTTATTTTTTATTTTTTTGTACTGGGGATCAAACTCGGGTCCTTGTGCTTGCAAGGCAGGTGGCGGAACCACTGAGCTAAATCTCTGGCCCTGTACAATTCCGTTTTAACGTAATGACTCAGTAAACACTTAGCGTTCATGTAATGCTCTCAAAGTCATCATTATAAACACTGCCTGTGTCACATAAAAGCATTTTATCAGACTAGTTAACATTCCCCAATGTCCCTGCTCTAGTATGATTACTGTTTGCACTAACCTATGAAAAACAGTGCAACAGCTCTCACAAAATCCTCTTGAGGTAGCTAGGGAAAAGAGAGTAATAATCCTATTTTTAAATCACATTTGTGAAGTAATAGGTATATTGTTTGACATGTGGCAATAATCCAGCAGTGGAATCAGTACTTAAGCTTCAATTTTCTGGTTTGTGAAGAACTAAAATCTGAAGGCCTCCCCAGTACAGCAGCTGCCTCATGTAGTGGGGATTTGTATGACATCACTGAACCAGGGGCCAGTAAACACTCCTAGCTCTTGTATGTGTAGAACTTTGTTAATCAAGTCTCTGCCCACATCATCTTCTCCAAGGACCCTCCCTTCTACCCCACTTCCTAGACATTGTCACATTATCTTATCTGTTTCTGGTGCAGCTCTTATGGCCACTTGAAATTACAGTCACTCTTTACACTCTTTACACTGAACTGACACCTCATAGATAGTCACCATGCATTTGTTGAAGGAATGAATGAGCGGACTCAAGAGATCGCCCACATTCTGAGAAAGGATTCAAGAGGGTCATGAAAACATGCATGAAATCGAGACGCATCATAAACCAGGTAAATAAATGGGCAACTTTGATATTTTCCATTGCAATCATTATCCCAGGAATTGAAAACTCAGTAGGAAAGAAAGAAAAAAAAAAAGCAACAGAGTTGTATGAATCTAAACACAATGATAATATTATTTATCTATACTGCGTCATTCCTTTTGCCTTCCCTTTTCTGCAGAGGTTTACTTCTAAATCTCCCTAAATTGAATCAGGAGTTATGAAATCTTCTGGAATATATTTAAAAGTTCCTGTCTCTATGTATTTACATCTTAAAGAATAATGCCAGTGAAACAAATAAGATGCTTCTATGACCTAACAGCAGAAAATGAACTTGACTTAAACCAGAGGCTATAAAATTGCTAACTTAATGAATATCATTATCAAGCTGCTTGAAGAATGGTAGTAGAATTGCTTTAAAGTATGCTTACCTTTTCTAGTATTTATAGGTCCACCACGCATGGCCAAAACCAGCTTCAAGGTACAACCTTCTGAAATGCTGTGAACAGTTAACACAGAAATAATCTATAATCATGAAAACACATTCAACGTTAAATGTAATACAAACTAAATGCTGCTTTATTGGGCATAGTACCTTATTCTCTAAATTATAAACAGGTACAGCAACATGAATAAATTTAAAATGTTAGTATTTATAGAAATAATTAAAAAGTTAAATAGTTCCCATCAGCCTTACACTGATGTGAAATCCCAGAATAAACATACTAGAAAGGATCTCTGTGATCTGTGCCTCTCTACCCCACATGTGATCAAAATGAGACCTGCGGAGGACAGAGGCTTGCTGAAGGAGAGCAGATCTGCTCACTGCAGTAGCAAACAGTACATCAAGGTGGCCTGGGCTGGCCCCCAGGGCTCTTCCAGCTGTTCTGCATTACTCTGACTCTTCAAAAGAGTAATGAATTATGTGAGAAAAAGGAGAAGAGAAAAAACTCAAGTGTGTTTGAACCCAGTGGTGCATACAGCTCTGCTCAGTGACAGAGGTGGCCTTTAGGAGGAAAGTCTGGGCAGGGAGTGTGCCTCTCAGGCCCAGAACTCTTCTATAGATGGACAGGAAAGGAGCATGGCAGACAGGAATGGCTCAGTGTTCAGAGAGAAGTAAGGGGACAAAAAGTTAATAGGAAGATGGAAAGAGCAAGAAGGAACCATTTGACATGAAAAATAAAATGTAGGCAGGCAGGCATCAGAGGGCAAAGATTCAGGGACAACAATGAGCAGTAAGCCAACGAATCTATAGCTCAAAATTTATAATGAAATCTGGAGTTAGCTATTCGGAAAGATACATGCGAGCCGGGCGTGATGGAGCATGCCTGTAATTCCAGCACTCGGGAGGCTGAGGCAGGAGTATAGTTGTGAGTTCGAGATCACTCTGGGCTACATAACAAGTTCCAGGTCAGTCTCAACTATGTAGTGAGACCCTGTCTCAACTCCCCCGCACCCCGAAAAAAAACAAACAGAAAGATACATGCGATCCAAGGATTCAGAAGAAAAATACTGGTCTACAGATTCATTATCCTAGGCATCTATAAACTGCTAATACACAGGCTACTCACTTGTAATCATTCAAGCAGTAATCATCTTCAAGTTCCACGTTATTCCAAATTAGGTGCTGCTGACAAATGGGAATACCTTAGAGGAAGGTGATAATAAAATGTGTTGAAGAACTCAACAGTGTTTCCAAAAGAGTGTGATACAAAATTACTTCACTAAAAAACTAAGAGTATTGACAAAACACTTCTAAACTGAATACGAGGTTCCTAGCTAAAATTTACAGAATTACAAGTAAAAGCATGATTAACAATAGACAAAAATCTATTCACTTTACAAGTGTGTGTTTCAGTAGCTCTCTGGCCCTAGAAGGAAATATAAACAGCCCTATAAAAAACAAACTATCATGAGTAAGCCCTGAAGAATGTAAGATTTAAGGCATAGAAGACAGAATGCTGCAAACTAACTTTGCATTCAGTTTTATTCATTTCAAATTCCATCGTAAAAGTACACTGACAATTTTCAATGCTGAAAACCACAATCTACAAGACATTTTCTTTACATTTCTGGATGCTAAAAGAAAATTAAGGCAGATTCTATACTCCAGCATAATAATTTTTAACAATCTGCACACTTAAATGTCCCAAGAATATTTGGATTATATTAGTCAGGGAGTAAGCCTTACCTACCCAGAAGAACACTTAATGGATACTGACACTGATGGAATTTTTTTTTTTTTTTTTTTGGTACTGGGGGTTGAACTCAGGTCCTTGTGCTTGCAAGGCAGGCAACAGAACCTCTGAGCTAAATCCCTCGCCCAGGTGAAAATATTTTTCAAATATTCCACAAACCACCTTCTCAAATTGCTTTTGTCTATATTATAAAATGAGTAGATGAGAACACCACCATGAAGTGCCACATGTACTAATGTTTATTACGTAAACCAGGATCCTGGCACACACTTGACCTTTAACATCATGATTCAGCTGCAACAACAACCCTGTGAAGTGGAGTCAATGGAATATGAATTTCACATGTGCAGACACTCAGGAGCCCAGAGAGGTGACACAAGGAGAGTGTGATCAAACAGTAAGGTGACTGCTTCAAGTTTTAAAAATTTATCACAGTATGGTTCTACCACCTGCCTCACAAGCGCAAGGTCCAGAGTTCAATCCCTGATACAAAAATAAATAAATAAATAAATGAATAAATAACAATCAAAATTTATCACAGTAAAAGACACATTTGTCATAAATCCCCAATAGTCCACCTAGCTTCGAGTGCATATATCAAGTCATTCTTGCCACTTTCTCGAGTGGTTCTGGAGTCCTCTTTCCTGTCTTTAGTCAAGCTGTTGTGGCTGTTGTGATGTCTCAAATGGATTCAAAGCATTCATGTTTCATGGTCATTTTGACTATGAGGAAGAGCCAGAAGTCACAGATCTACCGAATAAGGCAGACAAGGACACTCTGTAATTTTTTTTTCCAGACAGAAATTGCCTTAGCAGAAGCAGTGTGTGACACAATGTTATCAAAATGGTGATGAAACTGTTTGCCCATTTCTCAGGCTGTTTTCTATGTACATTGTTTCTTATGTGCTCTAACAAGTCCTTAAATCATTCAGAGTTCACCATAGTGTCCCTAGGTTTCCATCAAAGTAAAAAGCACAACTAACATCTCTTTGATGCTGGATGTTCACTGGCACAGTTTTTTTTTGCATGAGGTGAACGGGGTGATTTTCTATTCAGAACTCCAAAGTTTAGTCTCAAGTTCATAACCACAGACTCAAGTTTCATCTCCCACATGACATTTCTTAAAAAGCTGGGATATAAAGTGGCATATGATAACTCCAACGAAAGTGAAAACATTTCATGTTATTTGTTGTCGGTGATCCATGATTTATGGCACACCTTAAGTATACCTTCTCTCAACTGTTGCTCATAATAAACTGAGCACACCAAACAAGGTGAAATTTGCTACACAGTTATAAGATTGGACATGCTGCTTCCAAACCCTGCCTTTCTACTGGGCAGCGTGTATCAGCTGCAATTCACCATACATTTTGATCACCATTCATGTGGCAGTGAAAGACTGGAGCTGCCTGTAGAGACTGCATTCCACTTTTACACTGACTCATCTCTAGGATATTGGCCTCCAAAAGGCAAAAACGGCTGTCTGAGCAATGTGCTTCCAGTGTTGGCCATTCATAGACTTGAATTTACCAAAGTTTAGTGAGTATTCTAAAAGGTCATCATGAACTACACTGGGGAAAATGTTCATTTCTGTGTCTCCCAAACAAAATAGTTCACTTCTTTTGCTTTTAGCTAAATGAGAAAGTCAGTATGGAATGGTTTCTAAGATATACATTATTTCACTCTAAAAATATTTTTATATTTAAGTAAGTTCAACTGCATCAAGATTAACTTTTCAATCAAACTCACTGGATTTCATCAGCCTCAGTACATAAAGCACTCTGGGCAAGAGATACCTTGTCTCCATCCAGTCAATGCAGCAGAGGATGGCTTTGTAATAAAGCCTTAGAGCTGGATGACAAGACAGAAAGGTCACTGCTTGGACTCATGTACCATAACTGTCCATGGCCTTTGCCACCAGAGAGTGGTGTGGACTGTCCAAAACCGAGCTGGGGTCCTGCCTACCACCTGAGTGTGAGAAGACTTTGGAAAGTTACCATCCTACGTGAGGCTCGCTGTTTCTCCCTCACACTGAAGGAGGCGAGGTCTGCTTCTACCACCAGGGCACTCAGAATCTCAAACACATAGAACAGAACAACTCTGCATTAAGACAGGGACTCTGAGTTTGTACTTGCTAGATCTGGCAACCACACTAAAGAGTGGCTCTTTGCATTTAAACCCCAACTTTTAATCTAGCATCACTAAATCCAGATACATTAATATCTAGAAAAATATATTTTCCTCTGAAAAGGACTTATGTATATACATTGTCTCCTTTTATAGTGCTGGGGATTTGTTATGGAAAGAACTGATAAATGACATGCAGAGACACAAAAAGTTGGTAAAATTAAAAAATGTTTACTTTGCTAGCAATGGATTGGTCTGCACCAAGAACTGTGCCAAATGACCAATCCTGGATTGGATGACAATCTAAGAGTTTTACAATCATGACCTCATTTTAGGTGATAAGACATTCTATTTCCCACAGTTTCCATCACAAATCATGGTCACAAGACAGTACAATGTTAACTTAAATGTAGCAGTTTCTTTCAGGATGTTTTATCTTTAGCTATTTCAGCTCACAAGGGTAGGGGTCAGAGATAGGAAAGCAGGACTGGTGACATTCCTTTCATCTTAACATATGTACAGCTGTACAGTTTACAGAAAGTTTTACAGCTCAGAGACTGTTACCTTAGCTTTAACATTTGGTCTCATCCTGGCATGTGGCTTAGCACATCAGGCATCTGTTAATTTTAAACGGGCTACGTGCCTTTATGCTTCAATGGTGAAATGTCAGGTGTTTTTGTTAAACAAACCAAGTAAAGCAAATTATTGTAACAAAAGGCAGCGTTTATTCTCTATTTTTTAACATTTTGTAGGTTTCAGACTATTTACAGAAGTTCTTGCTATCAGATTGAATCCAGGACCTCTTGCATTCCAGGCAATTTCTCTGTCACTGAGCTATACATACTCTCTGCCCCTAAACTTCCATTCAGTGTTTTATACTTCTTTCAAATGAAAATATTATAAAAAGTTACTTGTGAAAAAATAGACAATACAGAAAAATATAAAATATAACAAAAACTAGGTATAATTCTAAAGCCAACAGAATCTATTCTGAATATTTTGGGTATATTTCCTTTTTAAAAGTTTTTAATAAAATGGGAATATATTTTGTGAGCTGTTTTATAAACTGCCTTTTAAATGTATTGTGTACATTCTTATATCAATAAATAAAAACATACATTGCTTTGTACTACTTGATGATACTCCAAGTTATTTTCCATAATGAATTGATTTGTATAACCCTCTAGTAAGATTTATTCATTTATAGTTTTTCACTACAATAAAAAAGAGTTGTGATTATGAAAGCTGTCAGAATCAAAATGGAGTTGCTCTGTGTCCAGCCTAACAAAAACTAAGTGGACAGAGCCAGCAGGTAAGGAAGGAAGTTTCTTACCCACAATGGCTGACAGTAACAATCACCAGAAAGGTCAGCACTGTAGCCCTGCTCGGAGGCGACCACAGACTTGCCCATTAGGAAATACAAGAATGTCTGCACAGTAGTTGTCTATTCAAGCCAGGGCCCTTGGTATTAATCCCTGTGGCCATGAATTATGATTTCAAAATGCCTTAAGGAATCCTCATTTTTCCTTTCAAACTTCCCTTTCCCTCAACCTCTCTGAAAATGTGAATTTCCATTGCAATGCTTTGCTATTCCTAAGTAAACTTAATTTTCAGAGAATCCCTCTCTATTTAGGTTGACATGATAAATTAATACTTGATGTGCACACACTTGAATGTGTGTGCGCATGTGTGTGTTTGCACAGGATGTTGTTATTGTGCTTGGGCTACCATAACAAAATACCCTGGATTGGGCAGCTTAAACAAGAGAAATGCATTTCTCACAGTTTGGAAGCCTGGAAGCCCTGGGTCAAGGAGCCAGTGAGATTTACCTGTCAGCCTTCGTTCCTTGGCCTGGATGCAGCAGCCACCAGACTGTACTTACATGACCATTTCTTTGTGTGAGGACAAAGAGGGAGAGTGCTTCCTGGTGTCTCTTCTTATAAGAAGAGCAATATCATGAAGGCCCCACCTAGGGTGGCTGAGGACCTCATGTAACCCCTCCACCTCCGAAGGCCCCATTCCCAAATGCCATAATAAGGGGGTTAAGCTTGAACACAAGAATCTATAGGGGTGGAGTATAAATATTTAGCCACTGCTGGATGTGCAGCCACATTATAATGAAACAAATGTTTTTTGTGTATTTTTAAGGGACTCAGGGGAAGAAGAGAGGGAAGGGCTAGGGTGGGAGTAATGGGTGGGTGGAAGTAAAATATCTCCTGTGCATGTGAAAATATCCCAAAGTGAGACCTATTATTCTGTGTAATTAATAGGCACTAAAACCTCAACAAAATACAGAATTTAAAAATGTTCCCTGTATTTTTAA